TCTCTCTCTCTCTCTCCCCTCCTGTTCTGACTGACACGTCAAAGCTGTGCTGGGCCTGTCACAGCAGAGCAGAGCACAATCGTGTTCCTCCACAATCACCATAGGGTGTCTAACTTTAAAACGAAGGACAGGAAACAAACTTTCTTTCCATCACTTCACTTTAGTAACTTTTCTTCAACTGTAAAGAGCTTGTAAGTCTTTTTCTCAAGCCTTCTTTCTCTTTCAACCCAACATTTCAATAAATTCACCTTTACACTCAGTTCATTTTGATGTAAATCATTGATTGTTAAGCTGAAACAAATAATTCATTTTGATTATCAATCCTTTTTTTCACTTACGGATTGTCTGTGGCTCTAGCTTAACTGTTTTAACTGGGACTTGCAGTTTTTGTGACAGTTAACAAGAAACAACTTAGAGAAAAAACGTTATGCTCTTTGGCTCCAACTTTTCTTATCTTGCTGTCATCTTCTTTTTCTCTTAACCCCTTTTCTCTTCCTTTCTCTCATCTCCTCTTTTTTCCCCATGTTGTCCCTTTTTTTTCCCTTCATTCCTTTGTTTTAAACCGAAGGTCTCCCCAATGTTTCTTATCTTCTCAGCCGAAAGTCTTTATTTAGCAGGGCCCTCAGCAACATGGCCAGATCAATCATCAGAAATATGTCATTAAAATGTAATGAATTTTCTCTCATCTGACAACTCTTAAAGAGGATACATAACACAGGCAGGAAGTGACACTGATAATGAGACGATCAAGAAGATTAGCAAAATGCTGGATGTCTGTCTGTAAAAATGAATCCACTGTTGCATACACCTTCCAAAATCAGTACTCAGTAATCTGTGGCTCGTACCTGCTGCCTGTCCGTCTATCACTGCACGACTCTGAAATGATGTCTGTGTTTTCCTGCAATTGCTTTTTTCAATTTTTCTTCAGAAGTTGGAATTGGTGCATAAGCTTTGTTCGACTATTTTTGAAGCGTGCCAATCACGTTACCATCCCACGTACACGTTTCAAAAAACACTTTCCTCGATGAAGAGTGATATCACTTTTTTTTAACATCCTCTGTGGAGCTCAGCCCCGAAATCCCATTTTAACACAGGTTCTCTTGTGTGACAACAGTGTCTCTCTCTCTCTCTCTCCCTCTTCCTCTCTCCCCCTTTCCCTCCCTCTCTCTCTCTCTCCCTTTCCCTCCCTCTCTCCCTCTCCGTGCGTGTGTGTGCGCCTATTCAATATGTGTTTACGCGCGTGTTTTTAATGGGTAGACATTTCATGAGACTAACATCGATGCTGCGAGTAGACTATGCGCAACATACACCCGTACCCAACACCACCCTCTTCCTCCGTGTGGCGTGGCAATCATTAAAATGATTTATTTAACTATTGGCCCAGGGCTGAGAGATTAGTGTGACAGGCCTATTTTATAATTCATTCCCCCCACTGCCAGGGGAAGTGCAATTCAGGCAGATGACACACATAGAGAGAGAGAGAGGGAGAGAGAGAGAGAGAGAGCTTGGAGCCTCCGAGCTCCTCCATGGATCAGGGGAAAAAAAGCCCTAAACTGCAGACGGATGCACATCCCTCTCCTTCTCCAGATTAAAAGGGAGGGAAGGTTGTCTAGTCTGGAGTAGAGGAGAGGATTGGAGAATGGAGAGGGGGCATTTATTTATCTCCAAATCCATATCAACCACTGGCAGATAGATGGAGAGGCTCTGGGGCAACGGCTGAGACTTTGTTTGGGGGGTTGTAAATGGGGTGTTATCTCTATGTGTGTGTATGTGTGTATGTGTGTGTGTGTGTGTGTGTGTGTGTTTTTCAAAACACACAGCAAAGCTTTTGGAAGCATATTCGACACTATATGGGTGCACACTAACACAGATGCTGATACCGTGACCCTGGATCTGAAAAGAAGGGAGAAAATCGCAGTGGGGGTACAGCCACAGGGGGGGAGAGAGGGAGAGAGCTTGGCTTTCTGGAACAACTTCAAAATATCTATTCTTGTCTTTGTGTATGGATCTGACTGTTTTGATCTGGCTGCTGCAAGGTGTGTGTGTGTGTGTGTGTGTGTGTGTGTGNTGTGTGTGTGTGTGTCTGTGTGTGTGTCTGTGAGTGAGAGCGACTGAAAACCAAGCTAACGCACCCTCTGATTAGATAAAACTAAGGTGGATGTGAGTGTAGATTGCGGGTGCTGCGGATAAGAGTGACTTTGTTGCAGGCGAATCACATCTGTGTATCATTACTCCAAAAGACCTCCAAAAATCAGCCATTAGTGAAGCGTGATTGTGATATTAGGCCGTGTGATTAAGAAAGTAAACGGATTTGCATGAAGCAGCATCTCTAAAATGTTTGTGCATGTGCGGAACGTCCGTGCACGTTTACATTAGCCTTTTATGAATTGAGCATCTTTGACTCTGCCGACTAAAGAGATGCTGCCAATTGCACATGGTTTGTGGCAATTGGCAGAAACACGTCTGATCTATTGCTGACTGGAAACAGGCTTCTTCAGCCTCTCTGATGACACGTCCTGCTTAATGTGCACGTTGAGGCATTTCTTCAACATCAAGGCCCCAAACCACCAACAACCAGATCCATCCAATTAGCCCAGCAAAGGTCAGGGATAATCAATGCTACTGCACAGGAGATAAAGGGGGCTAGGGAACACGAAGGGAGAGGAGGTGTTATAGAACTAATAGAATCAGAATCAGCGTTAAAAGATTTTTAAGCTTAGGGTTCTGATTTCTAATTCTGAGGTCCGTTATTCTAAACATCAACGGGGCTGGAGGAGGAAAGACTACGAGGAGGGAAATTTACTGACCGTGCCTGAATGTTTCATTACCTTCGTAACTGGAAGGAACGTCTATCAAAAAGAGAAGGAATGAGATGAATTCAGTTAAAGCCCTTGAGTCATTAATAACCCGTCTTTACACATGTGGGAGGAGTTTTCATTTACTTGAGAGGGAATGATTGATTGACTAGATGAAGAGGTGTGGCGGAAGTTTAAGAGTCTGGGTGGATGAAATGTAGCTCCTGCCTTTTTCTTTTTAATTGTCTCTACAGTAAATGTGGGATACTTACCGTTCAGTGCCACAAAGGTATCTGGAAGGAGAAGAGAAGAAATGAGAATAAATGTGTTATTGCGCGCAGTAAAGAGAGGTTCCGCTTTAACATGATCAAGAAGCCATGACTTTTAAAGTAATTCACAATCGACCGTCTGCTCAATATCCCCCTAACTTTTAATCAGGTGAGCTGTGAAGGTCAAACATGACGGCTTCCCTTGAATAAACATACTGATGAAATTGAAGTGAAAATGCACTGGCTGCGTTTACTCTGCGTAAATAGTTGAAATTGAGATCAAATGGCTGAGGATGAATGATTTAACGTCAAAATGTTTTGAACCGTCTCTTGCCAACTGAGCAGCTCAGTAGAATATTAACAGGCGATCGCATTTACCAAACCCAACAGTTGTTATGGACATAAAAAGATCAAATATACATTGGGTCTCTGTACCAGTCCCTGTGTTGTCGATTAAAAGAGACCTTTCAAAGCGTCTGAGGTCAACTGGGTTGAGAGCCCTGTCTTGTTTTGTTTTTCAAAATGAGCCCAGTAACGGCTCACAAGTCAAATCCTGTGTGTCACTTGAATGTTTGGGTTGTGTTTGTGTTGCAATTTACAAGAAGGAACCCAGTCTCTGCCCAGTGGGACACAACACTCTATTGACCGGGGGACCAGAGAGACAGCGGGAGCAGGACAGAGGAGGATGAGAGCCGAAAGGGACAGATGGATGGAAGAGGCTGAAAGAGAGGATTGTGAGGGCGGAACAGACGGGGGAGAAAGAGGTGACAGCAGCGGAGAAAGAGACGGAGAGACGAGTGAAGAGTGAGAGCAAGTTAACAGAGAAGAGAGGAATGGTAGGGGGGGGCATGGAAGGGAGGAGGACAGATAAGAGTGAAGAGGGCCTGCTTACTTTGGCAGTCTCCCAGGCCATCTGTGTTGCCATGTTCCACGTCCTGCTCAAAGGCTGATCTGCGGGGAACAGAGACATCATGGTCAGCAGTGGAAAACAGGCCAGGCTGTGCAGGCTCGCCACACCTAACAAAGTAACACTGCTAAAAGAGAAGCTACTGCACAAACAGCTCCAAACACAGCAAACCCTACGCTTGCACAATGTGTACACCGCACAGAGCCCGAACCTGGAACCAAATCAAAGAGTAACTATTAGTTGCCCTGGGGCCTAAAATCAGTGGTTATGAAGAACAGTGGCAGGTTGGTAAATCCATAGCTGGCACAGGGATCATTGCCAGGAGTGTTGATACAAATACATTGATGTTTTACTCGGATGTATTAAAAGCATGTTATGCTGTATTGCTACAAAAAATACCAGCTTTTTTGCTTTTTTGCCAAGAATAAAATAACACTGATATCACATGCATGTCTATGTATGAAGCTACAGCCAGTTGCTGGTAAGCTTAGCTTAGCACAAAGGCTGAAATGAGAGGGAAACTGCTAGCCTAACCATTCAAAGGAAACAAAACCCATCTAACTATTTAAAACCTATTAAATGGTTTATAATGCAAAAAAAAAGTTGGCAATGATTCATATTATGTCGTTATCAAATCCCTGAGAAAGAAATATGATATTTTACAGTTAAACCACAAACTTTATCATATCACTACAAAATTACAACCAAATAGATCAACTTAAATTAAGAAAAGACTATATTTTCATAAAATGTAAAAAAAAAAATACTGATTTGTCTGTGAATGGCTCATATTGGTAAAACAATTGATTCTAACTGATTGTACAAAACGTACAGTAATCCAAAATAAAAACAATAATAATTTAGCTACCATTGAAAGTGCAAGGCTAGCTGTTTACAGACATGAGACGTGACATTGGCCTTGATCTTCTCATGTAACTCTTGGTAAGAGCACATATAATTTCCCAAAATGTTTAATTTATTTCTTAAGGAAAAAATGCTCAAAAACATCTCAAAGTTTTCACTTTGATTATTCTTTTGCTGTTTCTCTGTATCTGACATGATCTCGCTTCAAAGGGACATGAGGCAGAAGTCCCAATCACATGGGCCACGGCCCTGGCAGTGAGGGGTGACAGTGCTTGAGGGCCATCATATGATGGAGAGAGAGACTTTCAGAGATGTTATTCTCTGACGCAATCTGCATCGAGACCTGTTTTCTTCCTGAAAGACCACCAAGCAGGCAGTAAGGAGATCTGTGAAACAGAGCGGACCAACTGTCAACCAGGATCATAGTCACGCATGACAGCTTTTCACAGTCCTCCCCAGCTCCCGTCTCCTTGCCACTCCTCCTCCTCCTGTCTGTCCACCCGCCTCTCATCTTCCTCACCCTTCGCTGGTCACAATTATAGCATGAAGAAAAATGATTTTCCAAAACAGCATCACCCAAGACCTTATCCTCTGATCAGAGCTGAAAGCGTGAACCTGACAGCAAGGGCAAGCACAGGAGATTTTTAAGGAGGAAAACACAATTGAATTTCTGCTGTAACGCCCTCGAATCAGAAACAAAGTCAAAGGCAGCCTTTCATGTATATTCACAGTACATGGTGGAGATGATTGGAAAATTTCATACTCTCATTTAGTATTTATCTTTTTCCCCAGTTTGGCAGCACCTTAATTGGGATGGCAATGGCACATTTTACTCTCCTGATTACCAATTTCCCTTCAAAAGCATTCACCACAACAGCCACACAAACAACAAGAGCAGCGACATCCTCTTTTCATTTCTTGGGGTACATTTAATCTGCTTATCTGATTTGCTTATCATACCCAGTCATAATCACAAAGCAGACACACAGTTGCACAATTAGACCTGTCTAAGCACAAATGTGGTCCAGGCTCTGCCGGATATTCCTCGCAGACTTTATCGCTGTGTCCCACCCTGCCATGAAATGTTGTTTTGCGTCTTTGAGGAGACAAAACACAGACAAGCTTGTGGTCATGCTTTCAAATATAGGTTAATAACAACATCGCAAAGTTTGAGGCTGCTTTTAGATGAAGATTACAAGTCTTAAATCCCATTGGTTTATAGATTAATTAACAATGAGTAGTCACACTACACATGCAGTGTCTGACCCTCGCTTGGCACACGTGAAAGTGACTGAACCACTCTGTGAACCCTCGCTTAACAGGGTTCAAGTCCCACAGCAGCTGCATCATAGCAGCAGAAGTGCAGTAGTGTTTTAATGTGACGCTACAGACGGTTTAGCTCAGAGGTAAGATCCCACTGCAACCACATAATGCATATTTAAAGATTCAAGCTGTACATAAACTGGAGCCTCTGCGGGCCACATTTTATATTATCTTGCATCAGATGAGATTATTATGTGAGATGTGTGGTTGCACAGAGACGACTTGGTTGCTGAAATACAGGTCAGGCATAATAACATTAATTATTCATATCTGGAGTGAATGGGCAACTGGGGACTATATACTGCACATAGTATATAGTGCAAAGAAGTGTGTGTAATGTTTCCTCAAGTCATTTTGATTCATGGTTTTGATTTACAAAGGAATACCTGCAATAAACTGACTTTAATAGTCAGGGGCTCACCAGGTATTCAGTCAGTATATGTGTAGCTTTTATAAGACCATACCTTTGATTGAGAGAAAAGTCTGTGACACTGGCTTAAATATTTAACAAATAATTATGGATATGCTACTAAACACAGTCGTGCACCTAGTTTACATAATAACAGCCATACACAATCACATTCAGTCATTTTCAAGAACAGGGGGGTGACCGGGGACCATATTGCAGGAGATCAGAGTGCAAGCTGTTTATAGGCAGTAGGTATAAGAGGCATAACTCCACATGGGAAAGCTGGCACGCAAGCACCGAGGGCCAGATGGAAGAAGAAAGGAGGGGTGGCATGCAAGAGAGAAGTAATATGTTAGAGGAAAGATAGAAAAAGAAAAGTGGGCAAAAATAGATAGACAGACGGGGGGCTTAATGCGTGGAAGGTGTGCAGGTAGCTGGTTAGGCAGACAGATAAATAAAGACAGCAAAGAAAACAGGAAAAGAAATATGGTGGAAAAGGGTTTTTTATTTTAATGAGGAATCAAAAAGTAAGAAAAAAGACTGATGTTAAGAACGAGCGAGCTTCTTCTTTGCAGGGACTTGTTATGTCTCTGAAAAACAACGAAATATCTCCGACTCTCCCCTATTCTCGCTCCTTCTGTCCAGTCTGGCAAAGGCTTCGAATAGCTCACCACAGACCAATAGCTTCTACCAGACCTCCCATCCCTCCGCCTCTCACTAAAAATGACTGTACAGGGAGGTTATCTGCCAAAGTGTCAAGGTGGAAACTCAATCAGGATGGTCCAACGCTTCCGCTTATGCAGAATAATAATGGGATGGGTAGTGCGTTTGTTTTTGTTTTGCATGTTTTGTGTGTGGGTATGTGGTGTATTGACATGCCAGACCCATCATTTTCCAGCACGGGTGATCAAATTCATTCATCGTCAATTAGCCACTGAAGCAGTAGAGTCCTTTTGTTATGACTTCATCTGTAAAATGTTTTTTCCCTCCACAAAACTCCATACGCTGTTTGTTCAGAAGGCATAATTTGGCTCTGTGTCGCAACTACTGCCACAAATTACAGTTACCGTGACTGTTGGGCTTTACCCAGCTCCGCTTACCCAACCCCGAGCCTTTTCGAACACTTTCCTTCCATTCATCCTTCCAATAGCCCCCTTTTCAGCTGGAGGAAATTGCATTTACTCACCATAAAATTAGAAAGATCACAGACACGACAAATCGAGAGAGGAATGCCACCAGGCATGACGAACAAAAGGTGCGGATACTGTTCCATGTAACTTGTGAACTCTTGTAAACCACACGTGTCACAGTCTTTTTACGTTTAATGACTTTTCTCAGCTGAACAGATGGAACCAGCTCAATGTTTCATGTGTTTACTGTGTTGTAGCATGCATTACTAATGCAGACTTCATTCTACAGAAGAGATCGTTTTAAAGGTGACAAAATATAAAACTGTTCAAAGATATGAAGACAATATAAAGTTAATGGCACATTTAACAGTAAAGGTTAATGGTGTGCCTAACAGTTTTAGAAAATGCAACTCAATATTTGAGAGATCATATATTGTTCTACCACTTTATAGAGAATAAAAAACTACAATACCCATGAGCCTTAGCTGCTATTACTATGGAGAAAAGCCAGTGAGCCACACCCGGAAACACTTTGGAGTCCAACAGTGATTTTAACTGTTAAATGTTGTCTGGTTTCTATAACATTAATCTGTCCAACACACTGAACAGTATTTTTGCTAAGGTTTTTATCTGCACTGTTATGACTGTGTTTGTGTTTACTTACTTTATGTTGCCAACCACCTGTCTGCAGGCTCCTTCTGACACCCAACCACAGTACGGGTCTCTGGAGGCTATACAGGACCTGGAAGTCAAACACACACCTTTAGCCTCTCGTCATGTTGTTCACCGGAATATTGTTCCAGAGGGGATCAGAGTTGTTTCAATAGAAATGAGAACTTTATATTCACGAATCAAACTTACTTCTTGCATCTTCCATGTCTTTCACAGCGAGACAGTGGCACTTTAACCACACAGGAGGTGAACGCAACCCACAAAGAATGACTCTTGCTTTCTATCTGCATGCCAATGATCCGCTTGTCCTCCACACCATCTATACTGCACCTAGAGAGTTCAGGATAAAACCTGGATTATTCCATCTTTCATTCAAACAATGTTGTTTTATTGGGACAGTGTCCACTGAAAAGAGATGTGGGATGTCGCAAAACAAGATTGAACAGTTGATTTAAAGAGATTAATACAGTTGTGCTAAGATGTGGCAGAGCGATACTGTGAGGTCAGGAAAAACAGTGAGCACTTGAGAACATGGGGTCAGAAACAGAGGGAGATAAGGGAGATTAAGAAAGGGTGATACAGATACAATGGATAAACAGACAGATGGGCACTATGAGCAGTCAGCAATAGCACTGCACTTAACTGTAAAACCCACTAATGCTAACTCAACCCCCTCCTCCTGTTCCACCATTCCTCCATCCCTGCTAGCCTTCTTTGTCTCCTCGCCCCCATAGCAGTGCACGCTAATCCCTTTGGGCGTGTCAAGCATCTTTCTATCCCTTCTCTCCATCCATTCCCCTCTCCATCCTGCCATCCAGCTCCTGGGATTTAATCTCCCCTTCGCAGTGCACTGGTCCCTGTATTACCGCTCTCAATTAGGGCTTAGAGTCCGTCTACACTGGGTAATGCACTGCAATCGGGCCTGTGCTGATCCTGCCAGCCAGGCGGGGAGGCAGGCAAAGTCACTTACTGTACTGACTGAAGCCAGATGGCCGGCAGCCGATGCCGATGCTCGACCTCAGTCACAGAGAAGAAAAGAGAGAAACAGAGAAGAGGCAAGAAAGAGACACAACCCGGGGTGGGAGGAGAGGGCAGGGCCTGCCCTTCATCCCCTCCATACGCCACGTCACATGGTCGCAGCATGTTGGATAACAAACAGTGGTAACCTTGAAAGCCCTCCTGTCAAGCCCTCACTGTGTTTCCCCTTTTCTTCTCCGTTGTACATATTCTCCTCTGTGCTTCTTTCCATCCCTCCTCTCTGGTCTTTACCTCTCTTTCTCTCCCTCCTCTGTTTGTGCTGCCAAATCGGTCCCGTTCATCCATTACCCCTCAACTAAACATTTGCTTTGGCAGGGTCTCACTGTGGCTGATTTTTCCTTATTCACTTCTTTTCCAAATACGCGACAATACTCAGCTTGCTCCACACCACCGTACCAAGCTCATGGAAACACACATACAAACACTAGTTCACATCCTTACATGCACCAACAGAAATGTAATGTATTAGAGAAAGATCAAAGTCTGGCTCTGAAGACAAACACAGACCTCAGTGTGTGAGTGTGTGAGCGTGTGTGTTTCCTTTAATCAGCCAACAATTTTGGAGGAGCTGGGCTCCGCTATGGTTGGGAACCACAGCACTAGGCGATCCAGAGCCTTGGGGTCTATGTCTTTAATTTAGTAGCTGCGGTTGGACAAAGTGTAACCTGATAAAACTCTTTTAAATGATAGAGTAGCCATCTGGTTGGCTGACTTCACTGTATCGTGGGTCGGGGGAACTGACTGGTATTGATGGAGCTGGTGGGCTGGTGGGTTGGTGGGTTGGCTGAGTCAGGAGATGGTTGGAAAACATGCTAAATCACACACAAACACACACACACACACACACACACACACACACACTCTCTCTCTCTGCAACATACACACATCCAACAACTGACTTTTCGTGTGTAGCAACTGTATCCATGTGTTTTTCTATTTCTATCCATCTCTCACACATTCATACGTGCACGCAGCACTACGCACTTGTCAGGGTTGTAGACGTTGACCTCTTCCAGGAACAGGCTATCGTTGAGGAAGCCATTGTTCATCTTGGCCAGGAACTTGAGGATAATGCCTTTCTCAGATCCCAGGAAGACCACTGTGTTGTTCTTGTGGGGACCTGCCTCACTGTCCACGACAATGCGTGTCAGACGATACCTGCAACCAGGGATACCCGAGTTTAGTAAATCAACCAGTTAATCAGTTATTTATTCAGCAGAGGAACAAGGTGGAGTAAAATAGAACATCAGCAGTTGCTGTTTGTCTTTATGTTACTTGCATATTTTGAGAACCATTCATCTTTAGCTTCAGAGGTATGTATCATCAAGGGACCAAACTGTTTGTGTCAGATGTCTAAAAGTTCATGAGGAGCAGCAGGGGAGATTACGCTCTTTTATTAATCTCATTATTTGATTGTTATTTCATTAAACCCAATCAGATTACCATAGGGCATTTCAGGTGGTTGCTCAAAATAAAACACAACAGTTGTAAACATCCCCGTCTTTTGTATTTGACAGCTGCTGGTCACAGCTTGGCTCTGCACCAAAAGTACAATTTCAATTAAAAAAAAGCAGATTCAAGTTGGATTAAATTAGACAAATTAGACACCTGCCACTCAAACTGTTTTAGATGAATCAAATAATAAGGACTGGTTTTCAGAAATATTCTCTACGGTTACTTATTTTTACCATCTAATCTCTGTATCTATCTCAATTAGTTTCAGGGCCAAGAAACTCTTAAAGTTATCAAAAACCAATCGTCTAATTAATGTGTATTATGCAAATCCTTTCTTTCATGATTTTAATAGAAAAATCTGGTATTTGCAGATGATTAAGTGTTAGATTCTCTTGAAAACAGGAAGCCTCATTAATGGTTTACTGAATGTTCTTTATTTAAACGTGGGTGGTAAAGTAGTTGCTACTCTGAAGGTGAATTTGTTTTGGATGTGGTGAATATAAATGGAACCAGTTTACACCATGAGCCCATTAAAGAAAATCCACACAAGGTCACATCCTCTTATCCCATCTGCCTCCTCTTTTCTTTAAATATCTCCTAAAAAGCTCTTGTGACTTTATCCAATCAACAGTAGCAGCGATCCGAAGGTCTAATGTATTTTTTTGTTCCATTCAAGTAGAACGGCAGCTCTGAGTCAATATGATTTGATCTCAGAGAAATAATACAATCTCAAGACGTTCACTGTCTTTGCTATTTAGGATAATAAAAGATCTCAAGAGGGGGGATTCTTCAGAGTGTTGCCCACTTCCATTTCAATCATTGTGTAGAGCCAGCTGAGGCCCCTGCCACTGCATAACTGTCAGGACAGAAGAGCTACTTTTTTCATATCTGCAGCAATCCTCCTCAGGGTGAAAAAAAGATGAAACCCAATTACTGATTTTGTTTTCCACCTGATTTCAGCTCAAGAATAGTATTTCACTTGCAGATTCACAACATTTTGACAGGCCTCTTAAAAGGCCTCGCTCTCTTCCACTCAACATGTCTCCATGATGCTTTTTTGAGCTTATGTAATGCTTTTAACTGCTGCCTCCGACATACACGCAGGCCTTCATTCACTATAGTGTCATTTCAAATCAAATAAAAGAATCTGATTGCTGATTATGTAAAGACAGAAACACTGTGTTATTCATAATATGGTTGTATGATATAGCACACTAATGAACAGTGAGCGGTGTAGGGATAACCTTGATGAAAGCTGCTCGTATTCTGACTAAGCCTGCACAGTATGTAGGTCAAACCTCCGCAAAGTAGAAGCAAGATGTGATACGACGCAAATAATTTGTCGGAGCTCTCTATATATCTCATTTTTAAAGTGATGTTACCACCACTGGGGCTTGTCAACAGTATGGCAACTCTGCCAAAACGGAAATCAGGAGCAACTCAATGCAGAACTATGTCCATATTAAAAACTGGATTTTTATTATTTTTTAAACTTTTCTCAAAAAGCTCTGTCAGCTAGTTTTGCTGTGCCGCCGGGATGTGCTGTCATATTCCCTCAGGATGGTGGTTGCAATGTCTGTGTGTAGTGTAGCTAAAAGCCAGACAGACCTTTATGATCAAATGATATCAGCCACAGTGCAGTGGCTTTTGGGAAATGGGCTAACCTCCAGAAAGTCAACCACAGAATAAAAAAAATCATTCCTTTTTTCGTCAGGATTTCTCTTTGAAATATCCTCAGAGGATTTAAACCAGCAATTTGCAACAAAGCACCGATCATCCTTTTTTAGGGTGTAAATATGAAATCCCATGACTTCTCATATAACGAACAGATTTCAGCATATAGAGAGACATCATTGTGAAATCTAATAATTCACTCTCTCTGAGTCACTATACAGTCACTCTGGGAGAATAGTAGTATAGTATTGCGTACATCAGCGTTTCCTCTACTACAGAGAAAATAGGTCAGCGGCTAGTTTGTGGTGGAGTACCACTGTGTTTTAATGAGCCGCCTGACTCTCAGAGCAGCACTTCACCTAATTATTGTCCTGGGCTGGAGAGAGGCTCATAGAACCTCTGATGACGACGGCCTGTGGAGTGTGTAATATTTACCGGACCATGGTCTTGAGGAACCAGGGCCTATTAGCGATGGAGGGCACGGCCTCGTCCATCAGCGGATGCATCTTGATGAAGTTGAGTGTGTCGTCGGGGAACTCGTTGGATACTTTGTACCTCTCCATGGTTGGAGTGCCGGCACAGTTGCCAGGTCTGCGAATGGAGAGAACAGGAGGGTTGTGAGGAAGAGGGATGATGGAAGAGAGAGAAAATAATTGTGAGTAGACTGAGGGAAAAGCACAAAAAGAAAAACTGCTACATCGACTGTGGTGGCGTAATGAGCAATTTGTCACAGCTTGAGCACCAATGGAAGACAGAAAGTTCTACTTCCCCAAAATCAATGTGAGTGCAGCTTTAAATTACTAAACTCTCATTCCAACAGGCTTTGGTCAGAGCTAAGGACATAAGATGCCTTATTTTCTCTGGACCCGGAGTAAAGCACTGAGACATTCGGTCTATCTGATCCTTTTACAGGGAGTTGTTGAGCTGCTTGTAAAAGAGAAGCTGCTTTTGATAGCATATCCCCTTTGCAGGCATCTCACCTCTGAGAGCTTGTAAAAGTATTTTACTGCGTGGTCTCTGATACCCTTCCACACCACGTAATCCTCACCAGGTCCCAGAAATATTAGCCATCCGGCCTCTGAATGTCGCCGAAAAAATGTTGGGACCAAACCATAAAAATAGCCTCACACACGGACGTTTATAATGAATCCTTTGAAAATCTTCCTTCATATGTTTTTTCTTCTCTGCCAAGAGGATATGTTTTCACCCGTCACCCATTTGTCAGTAAGCCAATTAACAAAAACAACTGAATGGATTTCCACTTAACTTGGTTATCCAGTTTTTTTTTTTTTTTTTTTTTTTTTTTTTTTTTTTTTTTTTTTTTTTTTTTTTTTTTTTTTTTTTTTATTTTTTTTTTTTTTTTTTTTTTTTTTCTTTATCATTGTGACATTTTCACTGTTTCACAACAAATCATAGATCTTAATGAAAAAAAAGCCCATTTAGAGGACTGACATCTATCAGTGTGTGACATTTGGTATGGCTTACTTGAATTTGGTCTAACATAAATAGTCAAATTAAGTGGCAAGAATAGGAGACAGTAATCTGCAACATTTTCTTTGCTGTAGCTACATGCGGACATATGGAGAACAGAACGGAAACAGACATCCCTTCAATGTGAAAATCTGTAAACGCTTCAGTATGTGAGTGTAACACATGGAGGAACAGTCTGCTGCAGGGCTAAACCTAGGTGGCATTGTTACAACTCCCCGTCTGTTTGCCTGCAGATAAAAGGTCTGAAATCAACCAGGGGATGGAAAAGAAATCAGAAGCATCAATCACCCCACAAACAATGCAGGGTATATCAGCTATTTGCAATGTCTGAACTTGTTGAACATACACATGTAATTAAATGCTAATTGACGGAAGAGGGTAAACTCATTCTCATAAGGCACAAAGATGAAGGGTACAGGATCTGTGTTGCTGAGGCGGCGCACACACTCACACACATGCAGGGTACCAACAATTATCGTGGCCCAGATCTTTGTAGTAAATCTTTTTTTTTCTGAGGATAAGAGAGCGGCTCTTGGTGCACTAATTAGCGAACGATAGATGGGAGATTGATCATGGTGGTGCATTTGTGGAATTAGCCAGCCATCTGTAAAATGATGTCATGCTTCATTTGTTGATAGTGAGCCCTTCTTTCATGCAGCTGCTTGGGGAGGAGAGGTGAGGTAATGGGTTTTGGGGTAAAACTGTGGGGGGCGGGGGAAAGGTGCTATCTATGAGCAAGTGTCTGTGCACACAGTATGTAGGTGTGACACCATATGTAATAGGACATGTGATCTTATGAGGACATATTAAAAAATTATGCTACATGTGTGTGTGTGTGTGTGTGTGTATTCTGTGGTTAATTAACTGCTGCTGTACCTTGGCTTGGGAACCTTCTCCTCAGGAAAAGGTGTCCAGGTGGAATCTGGGGATTTCTGCTCTTTGAAACGCCCCGTGAACGTGTTGGCCACCTCCTCCATGTCATAGGCGCACACAGCCGAGCCTGGAATACTGCCACAAAAAAAATCCCACATAAGCAATCCCCTCGACACAACATATAAAAGAAACATCTTGCCAGATTTGGACCATCACCAGGAGACCCAAAAAAATGTTTTTACAGTCCTGTTTTAGAATAGTTAAGACCCTGGGTGGGTGCGCCAATGATGTTTCTAACGATAAAAGCAAAACTGAAAAAAACCCACATTTCTTGTGATGACAAAGAGGTGTCATACACGTAAGAGATGCTGACGAAGACGTCATCTTGGAAAGACGATGAGCGTTCGTCGATAAGGGCTGACACCAGCGTTGATGAACAAAATCAGACGCAACAAACTGCAACAGAATTTATATGTCATGTCCTGCCTCCTGCTGCTGTACTCAGGTGCCACTCCTCACCTGAATGTTTCGCACACTTTCCTGTTGTTGTGAATGTGTGACTCAGACAATCATTTGCTGCAAACTCGCGAAAATGGTTCTTATCCAATTTCCCAGACATTTTCTAAGAGCTTAGGAATTTGTCACTGTCTCTTTCCTCACTTCCCTCATCCATAAAATAAAACATTTTTGTTTAGAAAAATGTTCTCCATTTATTGTTGGAATTGTTACGAATCTGGTCGTAATCATTCTTCTTTCTGTATTGACTACAGATTCAGTGCTGTTATGTCAGAGTGTTATTGCACATACTGTAGTACTGTATGAGTTACAGTGTCTGTGTCTGCCAAGCCTCAAGAGGACACACATTCCCTAACTCTCCCTTCTACGACTGGGTTTCCCCAAAAGCCTTCGAGGCATCAAAGTTCACTGTTAGGCAAGAAATATGGGAAACAGATTATCTTATTATTGCTCTTTGCTTTAAGGGGGGGAACACCCATCTTTTGATATCAGTGGAACCACTGACATTATTCTTTCTTTGTGGAATCAATGCATAGCTGATTGCTGAGTCACTGAGTCTATTTTTCATGCTTGCTAAACTAAAAACTGAGAATTATTTATTCTCTATCAGACTTTCTATCAACCACGAGTATATTTCTGTCTCTCTGGATGCTCCGGCTGTTGCATCATGGGTTAAACTCATCATGTAGACAACAGGGAGACAGCATTCACAAGGGCAGTATTATAAAGAACAAGGTCAGGGAGCTGTTAAATCTTGGCTTAGCTGCAAAACGGTGGTAATTACGATCTGCATTTGATATGCACAGAAAGATAGACAATCATATGTCTGTTTATAGCAGACGGCGAACTAGTCAGATACATGGTGATAGAGATGGAACGGGCCGGTTTGCAGGAAACGGGCGGTTGGCCGGGCAGCAACCCAGTGGGACAAGTGAACGACACAAACCCTTAGTGCTGCCTACAGCCTGAATGTGCTCACTCTAATTTCCACCCCTGACTATGAAATAGAAAATTAATGTCAGAGATCAAAACCAGCGCTTATGGAAAAATTTCAGAGGCAGTGCTTCATTGGGCTTTAATGTCCATTAACCATGCTCAATTGCACTGTCACAAGCAATTGTCTTATCTGCTAAAAAGCAGCCATAAAATGGAAAATTACAATATGTGCAAACTATCAGCCAGGCTCTATGACTTTGTGGTAATTTTCAATTTAGATAAAAACTCCCACTGCCTATGAATATGAAAGCAGTTTGGCGTATGAATTATAAAAAGGAAAATACAATAAACACCTGCATGTCAAAAGGGCAGAAAAACAGTTTTGACAGAAGATGTAAATGGTGACCCAGTAGTCCCAGGAAATACACGTCGCCAAGAGGCACATCAGTGGAAAGCGCTATTTATGTTAACAAAGGTCAGACTGTCATAATGTTGATGAATTAAGGGCATTTTTAAAGGTGTTTCAAACTGAGGGAGATAATCGGTTTAATAAACGGAAAGATCAACAGTTGTTGACACATGTATTAATTTGAGACCAGAGGAAAAAAAGATGGTTGAATAAAATGAACTCAAATCACTTCCATCTGTTGCTGTCATCCAACCTCTTGTGGTAATGTTGCTTCTTACAATCTCTTATTCAGCTTTACCTGTTGTAAGGTGTGGAGAAAGTTGCCATCACAACGTCCCTCCCGTTGATGTGGATGACGTCTGTCACGGCCTGCAGGATGTTGAAGTAGAAGTGGGAGTCGCCGGGAATGGAGCAGTTCATCCGAGACTTGAGGAAGGAGGTCCACTGCTTCTCCAAGACACGAGGTGAGCCCCCTCTGTCGTTCTTACAGACCCTGGCCACTCGAGGAAACACCACCTGAGCGAGAGACCGGGTTACATTTGAATAGCTCAAGGTTTTAATTCAATATTCACTTGTGTCACATATAATGTCTGCAGACTCAGTTATGTACTAAATATTTAGTAGTTAACTAAAAGATTTGGTATTTAGTCAAAATGCGGTTGTATGCCTCTGCCAACAAGTGCAGTTTCAGTCGACATACATTTTTTACAGGCTCATAAGAGGTCACAGGGATCTTTGACCTTTGAACACTGAAATCTTATCAGTTAATCTGTGAGTCCAACTGAACATTTGTCCCCAATTTGAAAGGATTATGTCAAGGTATTCTTGAGATAACACGTTCACAAGGCAAGAAATGGCTTTGTTAGGTCACAGCGACCGTGATCTTTGACTTTCAGTCACCAAATCTGAAGAGATTCCTTCAAGGTATATATCGTGCTCATGCGAATGGGACGAAAATATTAGCCACTGGTTGTCTTCAGCACTGAGGCATAAAAATATTTCATGTTGCAGAATGAAAAAACTGAATGAAACTTGAACACCTCCACAAGTGGAGCACCTGATATGATCGAAAGCTCATAACAGCCAACCATGGACCTGGTGAGACTGTTTTCACAACTGCTGTTACCCAAACCTTGAAGCCGAAAGAAAAACGTTGGATTTGATTCCCTGCAGTTCTTACTAAAAAATCTTTGGGAGACTCCACGGTGTCTTAATCCAGTGTGTTATCACTTCATAGAAAATTAAAGACTCAGAGGAGTAAATTGGTGTGTTTGATATGCTGTTGAAGAGTCAGCACCTGGCAGCAGAAAATTTAGAACCTCCAGCTTCAAAAAGGAGCCGGTGCTATAATTACAACTGTGCTGTAAGCTCGTGTAGACAGTATTGTAATTAGTTGTTGTCACACTATACTTAACAGCAATAAATCTAACCCTGACCTGAAATTGCAACCCAGAGTAAACAGTGTGAATGGGAGCTAACATGCATTTAAACCAGCTTTCTATACACACGCCCACAGTCAACCACACACACACCCTCAGCCATGCATACGCCGCAACCCTCCAGCTTCCCAATCTCTCCCCCTCACACACACACGCAAATATGCATGCAGAAATCACACAATCCCAACTAAGAAAAACACACCAAGACGCTCTCACACCGGTCTATTCTCTGTGGGATAATAGAGCCCTGAGATTACAGAAAAGGTATTACACGGAACAGGTGAGACTGTCAAGTCTAATGTGGAATTATGTCAGCTTTACATATTACAGTTCAGTGTGTCGTATTTCCTGCTCGCTGCAGATAGCTCAACACGGGTTTATCTCTGTGTCACTTGGGCAGAGCGAGACAAAACACATACATGGTGCAAATACGCGCACACATATATCACATGAGCAAATACTACACTTCAGGCTTGTTAATTTAAATTGTGTGATAAAAACATTTTCCAGATAACAGGGTTACAACGCCAACATTAAAACTAAAGCAAAGAATAACAAGGTATTGTCGGAGTGGACCATTTGAATGTATAATAATAATATAGGGACATCATTCAAATACATTGCTCTCTGCACCATCACTTTTACCACCACGTCTGGTTCGGTTCCAAATACAGGGAACCCTGTTTTTTTTTATAATGTGATTTTGTAATTGTAAATTTTAAGTTTTACTTTTTTAAATTTTCATATATTCCCCAACTGTTTAAGCACCAGTACCATTTTAAATGTATATATTTAGCAACAATATCAGACGAAAAACCAAATGAAACCCAACTCTGCATGCAGGATTATCCTGACATCTCTTTCAAAACATCCACCATCTTGAGAGGCCTGCATTTGTTACTCTGTGTAACACACACACTCTGTCACTTCTGGCAGCAAATTCATTATTTCTCTTCCTCGTTAACTCGTCTCATCCCCTCTCTTTCTTACGCTCCCTTTTGTGTCTCCTTCCACTTCAATTTAACTGGTGAAAAATGGATATTGAGAGATTCATTTTCATAAACTTTCCCAGGGCTGGGTGGAATATTGAATTGAGGAGATTAATAGAAAAAAAAGTCTGTTAATATCCCTCTGGATGAAAAACCTGTTGAAAGCCAGTTTGGTCTTCAACCGCTCCTCTTCCACTCTGTCTCGTTTCTCAGAGACACTTGGGAATTGTTTTTGGGAAACATTGAGACAACAGGTCAAATGGGAGGGCTGCCGGATGGATGTGGATGTGCAATTCAAACTTTATATTTAGACTTGAATTTATTTTTGGTGCTGCATCCTGTCCAATGTTTACATTTTGTTTTGCTATTGAAATATGCTTTGGCCACTTTACAGCTACTGAAAGCCTCCTTCCAGCTATTTGACACACTCATATCCTGTTATTTTCTTTAGGCGCTTCCCGATTCTCTTGGTAAGTAGGAAGTCACCTCTGATTAGAGTTCAAACAATAGCAGAATAATGGAACCTCTGCTTACCTTTCCCATTGTGTTGTACTCCATTGCAATTTCCCGAAAGAAGAAGTAGATGAAGTCCCCATAATCGACTGCCTGGACAAAGTAGGGCTCTGCAGGAGGAAAAAAATATAATAAAACATGAGTCAAAGTGAGATTTAGTCGTGACAAAACAGTTTTGACACCGTATTTCACAGTAAACAGCCACAATATCTGTCATATTATGCAGAAAAGCACCGACTGTGAGCCTTGAGTGCCTCAATATATCATCCATCATATCAGCAGAACACTTTGCATGCAAGGGAAGAGGGATCTCTCTATTGAGTTTTGACAGGCTGGACTTGTGGTTGTTTCTCCCTGGGGCAGAGCAATTTCCTGGCTTCATCAACTGTATCAGGACAGGTTGGCAAAATGACTGCGTCAAACAGAGCGTGGAGCATTAGCATAAGTGCCCCTGCTCTTCAGACACAGAGGTGCAAACACACATATAGCATAAATCAAGAACAACACAAACATATGGTAAGGAATGCATTTTCCAAATCTGGCTTGTTGTCACTCAATGTGGTGCTTTCTAACTACCAGGACGTTGTTTGTGTTTGCCAGCCCACACTCACCTTTCAGCCACTTGGAGTCGTGTTTGACAGTTCGCAGAGTCGGGCTGTCTCCTAGGCTGCGATAGATGACCGCATCGATCGCTAGAAAGTCTGTTACGGTGGCCGAGTACAGCTTGCCATCTGGAGGCAGAAAGAGTAATAAGGAGGAAAGACGGAGATGGAGAGGGAAAAAGAATGAAGAGAGTGAAGTTTAGTCAAGAGAGACACTCAGAGATTTCTACTCTCTGTGGCTAGATACACAAACATGTTTTAGATGGCTCAGACACTGGAAAATAAATGAATCACACAAACCGAAGAGACTCTTTGATGGACAACAAACAGGCTCTACACACTTAAACAGATCGCACATTGGAAATAGCTCACTCTTGCAAACGCTCCTCGCTGAAGCCCTGCACACGCACCGTCTCTAAGAGCACCACAGAAACCCACAGTCACACACATGCTTCGCGAACACAATCCACCACCAGCATGACCTCAGCGTGCCTCGGCTGTAACCACAGTGGAAACTCAAACTACATAATTGAAAGGACAGCAGTCAGAGGAACCCTCTTGATTACTCAGATCTTCCAGCTCTTTCCAAGCAGCTCTGCTACACATTAACCGGTCAAGCTTGCGTTTACTCTCCTTCGCGGCTCTAAGCGGGCAGGGACAGCTCATCAATACAGCCATAAATCGGTTTACAGCAAATAGGAACAGGGACTGGATGTCTTTAGCAGCCTGCGGCTTTGTTGCATGAGAGGAATTGTACCACGCCAATGGAAGGTTGAGTCATTATGGTCCCGTCTGTTCTCAACTTATTTTTGATCTCATGCAGTTGTGAAGGAAGGACAAAGAGAATGACAGGGAACTACATTAGAAGCGAGAGACAGATCATTCTGTATTTTTTCTGTTTCCACAATGCTATTGATGTGTTTCTAAAGTGGCAGCAAATTCTTGACACAGAGCAAACGAGGCCCCAAGTCTGCTGTTCTGCTCTGGTGCATGTAACACATATTGGCCTTTTTTTTGACTTGTTGTCTGAGTACAGCCATTAAAATAAATAAAACCACAGGGTATTAAGCACAATATCAAATGCAACCGCAACTAATCCCTTCACTCAGTTTAGAAAAGAAAATAAGGATGAATGTTTTACCACTGTTCAGGGATTGAAGTTTGAAAATCACAGATAAGAGATCATTCTTTGAGGGTAACAAGGGGAGCTGGAGCCAATCCCAGCTGAGATTGGGAGAGAAGTGGGGTACAAGCCTGTACGGCTGGACGAGGTGTGTTTCATCTTACCAGCAAAGAGGGCAACGTTGGCATGCTTGGCGTCATATGGACAGCGAGCCATCCCACTGATCTCCTCTCCCAGAGCCTCCAAGGTGTCCATCTAGCATCAAAAAAAGAGGTGAAAAGGTCAAGACAATGTGGCGTCAAACAATGCACATGAAACATAACTTAGAGAATCCTCCTAGGCAAAGGAAAGGGTCTAAGAAATATGCTCAAATATCAAAAGAATGCAATCTAAAGGCATCACTAGAAAACTACTGTTTAAGTGGAAAAATGTGGTGCGAGTCCATATAAAATGGTCCCAACATGTTGCGATACCCAGCCCAAGAGTGTGTGTCCATCTAACTCTGATCTGAACTAATATCCCGTTGATGGCACTCTGGTGTCCTGCTGTGAGCTGTCAAAGCAGCCCATCTGGGAGTAACTGGGAAACTGTCATGAAGGGAGATTAAAAAAAACAGACATTTTCCACAGCAACATGTTTCACAGTATGGGTGGATGTGGTTTGCTTTCCCCCTGCTATCTTTTATCCTTCAACTGTACTGGTGTTAAAGAAGATTTTCAACAACCCTCATGATGGATCTTTAACCCATTTACTGTGCTTTAAAGAGGGAATAAATGGGCAGAGGAAAGAAAGAAATGGGTGAGCACATGGCCCTTAGGCCCAAGTGTGAGAAATTTTGACTAAAGCACAGTAGTTTTTAAACAGTAGATCATACATTAGTCATTATTTTATGTTTTGCAGCCTCAAATTTGTCTTGTGATCAGAGCTTTTCCTTGGGCGTGAGTTGTTCCCTGATTTGGTTTGTTTCAGGAGAGATCCTACTTTTAATTCTTCACCTCGACAATGGGAGGGTATTTTTTACCATTTTTTTTCCTTCAATCACTTAGTGGTCCTGTTTCCATGAGCTATTTTAAGGCCTTGTCCACTGTTTATAAAGTGCTACTGGTCTCGTTTAGCGCTTAGTGGGATGATCTCTCTGTAGTGGAATTTATTTTTCGTGTTTTGTGCCCAGTTTGGTTGTAGTATGTTTGGCTGAGCATGGTGGAGGATCAGATGTGGGCAAAGGGTCATTATCATCCCACCATGGGTAGGCTTGTCCTCCCCAGCACGCCATAGGATATGCTCTTACCCTGGCTAATGACCTGGGATACACACAAACGCAAGAGGAAAAGAAAACCCATAAAACACTGGCCAGAAGCTGAGGTCAGGGAAGATTACTGAACACCCTGTTTGCCTGCAGAGTTCACAATACATAGTAATTTTTCTTCTTCATCTCTGTGTCTATCTCCTGCGTACACTCCTTCCTCACTTTCTCCTTCTCTCTTGACAAAGACGAGCGCAGCTTGCCAAGGCTGCAAACTGCTTACGCCGCCCTTTCTGGTCTCTAAACAGGTCATTTTGTTTTCTATTCCTGTCTCGGCGGAAACGGTTATCATCTGCCCACTAAAAAGGTCACACACATTCCGGCGCAACGCTGGAAAATCCTGCCAGAGAAATTGTTGAGGCTGATTTGGCAGAGAAAATTACAAGTGACCTTTTACAATAAACACAGAACCAGCAGCAGCAACGGAGCATTTCTCGATTTCTCATTCCTTCGGTTTTTTCAGAAATTATAGGAGGATCATATACAGAGGCGAACTGGTTCGAAAATGTATATTGTTATCAGACAGGGTACAGTGTAATTATAGATTAGCCGAGTTAATCATAAGGGATGTGAGTCGTGGAAGGTCAGGTGCATCCACTGAATCACAGCATCTGGCTGTACAGAGGAGCGGGGCGTTAAAGCTTGAAACGTCAGCAGCTTCAGTGTCAGCTCCCTAACACAAACACTCCTTCTCTGACAGATCCCAAACACACCCTCACATATCTCTCACGCCACAGCAGCAACCTACACCTACAGTTGATTTCACAGAGGCAGTGGCCTTTGTCTACATGGGCCAGGGCTGGCTGTCATCGATCTATTCCTGCCGTTTGAAGAGAGGAAGACACTCCCTGGCAGACCGCAGATATACGTACAGCTCCACTCTCCCGACAAGTTGGCATGTGCGGAGAAACAACAGCTTATTGCTCACTTTGTGTGCTGTTAGCCCAGTCGGAAGCAATATTCCATATTTTGTAGAAAGAAGCGGCAGCAGCAGTCAGTTCAGCTGCCATGCAGCACCACAACATTTTGAAAGATTACCATAAAGAAATTTGATGTTAAAACAGCCAGATGGATTTGTTTACCTTGTTACAAAGCAAACCTTATTATGCTGTCACCTCCACTGGCTGCAGAGAAGAAAGAGGTGCTTCAGCTTTGTGGAAACACAAGTCAAAGAAATGGGGAAAGAACAGTAGCGCTGTCGCACTTTGTCAGCACTGTTCAGTCGGGATCTGTTGTAGCTTAGCAGACGATTGTACAGTAACCTTGGCTCGGGGTGCAGGGTATCTAGATGAATTAATTACTACAACTGCTCATCTGTGTTTTCCATAGGCTATATGCTAATTAATTAGACAAACACGACGTAGAGCCAAAACATGCCCATCAGGAGTGTTTTAATTGGTTCAGCACCAGCTTCAGTACCAAGGGTGAGGGACACGTTCTATGTCTGTGCCTCTGTTGTTTTTGGGAGGACCCTTTTATGGGCTTTACTCATCACTGCTGAGGGATTTATGAAATCTAACTGAGGGACACGCTGAGGGTAAACTGAACCAACACTCCGCTTATTAGCACTTCCTCCAAATATTATTACAATGTTCCACAAAAAAATACAGTGAAGAGGGTTTTTGTAAAGTGAAGAAGGTTTTTGTACAGTGAAGGGGGTTTGTCCTTGTGTAAAGTGATAGCAGTTCTAAAATGATTTTATTTAGGATTTTAATAATCTGACTGAGAGGGTAGCCTCTAACAGACTGTGAAGGTCACAAAGGAGAAAAAGAAAAAAATGGGCCAATCTTCCTTCTTCGTGCCAATCCTTGTATGTACAGCTTGATATTTCACGGCCTGCAGCGGAGTTGAGTCAAGTTTCTTTTTATGCAGTCCATATTTCCACCTGCACAACCAGTTTCATCAATAAAGCTCAAGTGCACAAGTTCACACCTGGGCCAGAGACGGTTGTATAAACCAAACAAGGACACAACTCTGTGGGAGATTAATAGTCATGGCCCATTTCTCTGCAACCTGTTTCTGAGCCCTGGGCAGATGAACTCTTTGCCTGACCACCTTTCACACCAGAGCAGGAAACTGGAGTCTCTGCAGCTGTTGAAAGAAATTGAGGACGGAGCAAGTACCTCGTTTGTCTGAGCCGTCAGCCTCTCAAATGACTGATCTTTTGGAGTGAGAATGGCTAAACTAAATAAGCTGGTGTCTTTCTGTGTAATAAACATTAAGTCAATAAAACATCTTATGAAAAAAAGGCAATAAAGAAACACAGGTTGATGTATTTTCAATCCAATAAATCGTATTCAAAGACTTGACACAGATAAAACTTTCCAAACACACTGTTGTCCATCTGTATCAAGGGCGCGTCACCTGGGACCCAATGCCTCCAAAGACGTCCCACTGACCCACCACCTCCCCCCACTTCGCCCAGCAACAGGCGATGAAACTGACTCCAGTCATATATCAGCCTGGCTGGATGGGGTGTTTATTATTAAGGCACAGCAAGGGATTGACAAAGGGAGAAAGCAACAGAGGGAAAGATGGCAAGGCGGTGGGAGCAATGCAGGGGGAGAGGAATTAAGGCTGGCAGCAGAGGAGGAGAGAGGGAGGAGTTCCAGGAGGGAGGGAGGGAGGATGAAGAGAAGAGAGGAGAAGAGTTGGGTGATGTGCAGCGCAGAGGGCGAGGACTGTGACATGGCTGCCAAGAGTCTGTCTGTGTTTTTTCTTTATGTTTGCATGTATGTGTAAATGAGTGTGTGTGTCTGTGTAACCAAGTGTCGGCACAACCAACAAAAGGTGAAGGAAGGATAACGAGAAGCTAATGAAGAGAGAAGGTGTTAGAACAGAAATCAATGTGGGGTGTTGCTGGTTTGGTCGGGTGCCCTCCCTGCCCCCTGTTTGCCCACCCCCTCCTCTCTATCTCCCTCCACCTCTGAACCCCCTCCATCCCCCTCCCAGCCGCCCTCGCGGTGTTGTTGATTAATGTGGGATGAGGCTGGCCCCGAAACAGAAGCTCTTTTCAGTGCTGTCACACTGGGGAGATGGAGAGGCAAACTGTGGCCAAGGTGGATTTAACCACAACCACACACACACACACACACACACACACACACACAAGATACACTTTTGACCAGGCAGAGCCCAGCACGCCATCAAAGCCCTGGTATCTGCCCAGAGATTCTTCTGCCAGCAATGCAATGTGTGTGTGTGATGATTTTCTAAAATGTGTGTTGTATGTCAGTGTGTTTGCACAGTTGTCAGTGTTTGTGTGGGTGTATGCATTTGTATCCTACACAGGCATTTAAATGTGCATTTGCATATTTTTGTGTAAGTGATAATTTTTGACAACATTTTAAATGTTCTCATTGTCCTTAGTGTTTTGTCAGCCTTTAAATCACATCAAAGTTTATTCATGGCCATTGACTTGAGTATTTCCAGATTTAAAATGTAATTTTATTCAACTTAAATAATTACAGTATCGTCTGTGAAATGAGTTCTTAAGGGAATGAGCAGTTGCAAACATATTAAACTGACTCAATAAAATGTTGGGGTTTTTTTATTTTAAAAAAGGGATCATATTAATGAACAGTCGAATTAAGTAATTTTATTTTAGCATGTATTTAGAGGTAGAGACTTTTTCACAAAATGACATTGAAAATAGGACATTACTATCTTTCCTCTTTTATTTTGAAGATAGGTTACAATTGCCTTGATCAATTTTAGGGAGCCCAGACCACCCCCTTCGTAACGTGGGGACCCTAGGGTTCCTAGGTCAAGTGCAATAGAATCTATATTAAATTGTTCGTTTGTACTTAGTGCAATATGTATACTTAATTTACACAAGTGGTAATTGAATTTAACACACTAGTCTACACAATGAAGCACTCTTTAATTTATTTTATTGTGTTCTATGCTGCAGTTTTAATAAAGCACTGAAATGAAAAAAGAATTCCATCAAGAACCACTCTAGTTTAGTATGACTGATTTATATGTTGTATGCGTGGCCATATTACCAAGACTTTCCCTCACATGCCCTTAACTCTACCAGACAATATCAGTGCAATGGCGGCTAAAACACGAACCTTGAAACCATAACCGGAGTGGCTATAAAAGCTATCCACGCCTGATAAATGCGGAGACATAAATTCCACTTTCCCTGCAGGAAGAGTCAGTGAATTGAAAGACGTCCACTCTGTGCGCTTAGCATGCTAAACCACAAAGGCAACGGAGCGGAGATGTCTTGTTTTTCTGGTAAACAGATCTAGTGAACCAAAGCAGGAGAGTTTTCCCCACAGGCCCCCTAGATAACATCTCCGTGTGCTGTGACCATCACATCACATCCCAGCAAACCAAACAATAACATCCTTCAGGACAGAACCTCTGCTGAGTCTGTTTATGCTCCTCCTGTCTTTCTTACTGTCTGATTGTCCCTCTGTCTTGTCTTGTTTGAGGTGCTTTCCCGCAATGCCGATCAGTTCAGGACTGTGACCAGTTCTCTTTCGAGTCTGACACTTGCCACATTCTGGCCATATTTAACAAATAATCTGAACTTTTGAACCAAAAAATTGGAGCAATAAATCCAAATTGAGCACAAAGCCTGGCAGTGTGATCATAGTCCTACCGTCAAAACGTTGGGCCATTCAAACTATCAAGCATAAATACTGTCTTGTGAATGACCGACGATTCAGTCTTTGTAACAGCAATTCTCACTTTCACAGCATGAAGTATGAAAAAAACATTTATGTCGCAAGGGAAGGGAAAAAAACGGGACATTTTGAGCAGCAGTTTGAAGACAGCCTGTCTGCTTTTTAGTGTTTGTCTTTCTCTCTGCATGTATGCTTTGAAATGAGTGTGGATAATGCCTGCATGTTTTTTATTTCTTATTTGTCCATCTGCTTCCTCTACTTTTCTTGGCATCCCCACTTCTCCAACAAGGCAATCTTGATGTTGTTTCCTGTTACCTTTCTTGACCCGAGGTCATAAAATTGCATCTTCACAAGGTGGTTTTGCTTTTCCTGCAGGAATCTTGAAGCTATTCCAGACTTGCCTGCATGTATACCGCCAGGCAGGCATCCACTTACAGGAGAAGGATGAATCAGATTTCAGCACTGCACCTTCTCTTGCATTTCAGTGTGTGTGAGTGAGTGTCTATGTACGAAGCGAAGTAGATAGATTTGGCTGCTCCTAAATCGAGCGTGTCAAAGTACACCTGGTGATAAAGACATAGGGGGATCGCTTGCTGAGTTGTGAAAGTCATCCATCTATGTCCGTCATTCCAGAGCTCACCTCCCTAAACTCCCGCATGGTTGAGGTTGAAATATGCCTGCGTGTGGGAGTTTATGTCAGAGAAAAGCAGACAAAGCAGGAGTGGAAACAGATAAATATTAGTACGGAGTATATGTGCACAGTTTGGTTTATGTCTGTCACTGAGGTCAAAAAGAACACCAAGAGTTAATATGTGTATGTGCATGTTTGTGTGTGTAAGTACCTTGTACGTTCGGCAGGAAGGGTTGAAAGCATTTGTTCCACAAACAAACAAAGTGTCATCATTTTGCTGCAGGAGAACTTTGATGAAATTGTGACACTCATCCTTCAGGGAGCACAAGGGGGGAGAGGAAGACAAGAGAAAAAGAAGAAAGGAGGTTCATGGTGACATTTGTGTCTTTTTGCTTAAGATGTATTTACACAGAAAGCCACATGTGGCTCCTTCTTTTCTGTCTTTTGAAGTACAAGTGAAACAAGTGAGCAGCATAAAGAACATTGAGCTGGCAATCATGAAATTAATCATTTCCTCTTGGTACTTCAAGATAGATTTACAGCATATTCAATTTCTTTCTGGAACAATAATGAAATCAATAAAAATTTTACACAGTTTTTTGTTAGGATTGTGCAATAAATCCAGAGAAAATACAATTATGCTGCCACTGAGAGCAGAAACTATATGAAACACAAGGACTGTGTTATTGCACCTGCAGAGTCGCCTCTTTGTGTTAATGTGTCGTGCATATGCGTGTGAAAGAGGCAGAGAAAGTGTGTGAAATTACATCTGATACAGCTTGTCTGCAGTGTATAGAGTGTGACTCGCTAAAAAAGTGTTTGGTGAGGAGTGGGGTGACATTTGTTCTATAAATGAAGTTAAGGTGTAAGTACAGAAGATAATGTGCATGTATGCTCGCGTGTGTTTTCTCTACCTTGTGTTTCCCTTTCATTCTGCAAGTGTCCACGTCTGCCTGTCTGGACTTCCATGTCATTTTCTGGAAATAAAAATAGATGGAAGTCAAAGATAGAATGAGAGCAGAGGGTCAAAAAACAAACAAGATTAGCATTGACGAAGGAGACAAAAAACAGAAGGCACCGTAGAGCTCAATAACCAATCGATGCTGTGATCAATAATCATCATCTGAGATTCCCTGTCATTGATTCTCCTAATGAGGCACCTGCTCTGAGGTGAACTTTACTCCAAGAGCCGATCAGAGATCAGTTTACCTCCTTGAACTTTAAAATCTCTGGCGGATAGGAGGAAACACAATACTGTCCACGGATCAGAGCAGAGTCTGTCCAAGGGCAGAACCCGCCTCTGAGCTCATTGCTGTGGATTGATAGGTTGACTGGCCATCACACACACACACACAGACAGACACACACACTCACACTCTCTCTTGTGTATATTCAAACACACTACCTTGGCCTGTGTGTCAGTGCTACCAATATCTGTCAAACAACTGAATACACAAACGTATACACCCTCTTAGGCTGTCACACACACTCATCAGTCAATACTAAGTTATATCTGGTTTCTGCAGCTACACAGACACACACAGACACATATAAACACAGACACACCCCTCTTCGTCTCTGCCCTGTGTGGCCAGAGGGTCAGTGCTGAGGCGCTGGTTCAGACCGCTGCTTACTCGCCACTGTTGTACAACATGTTTGGAGCTCAGCCACTGATTAAAGACCCTCAGCCATCAATCAATCTGCACGTCTCCCACCAGGCTTTCATCTGCAGCTTGCTCTCATTAAGACCCACTCGTCGGGCGATGACATTGAAGTGGATGAGGTGGAGGGATGGCGGGTTGCTGTATACTTGAAGACGGCTTTGTTTGAATTCTGTTTGCATGTATTTTGATAAGGGCAAGTGATGCAAGCGAGGAGTTGTTGGAACAGCGGTTGGAATGAAATGGAGAGTGGGATATTACAGCTGAGGGCCTGTGTAAATATGAAGCTTTTTGAATGATCTGAAAATATACAATGAGCTCTTCCTCCCTCCAATTCTCCTCCTCCTCTACCTACTACACCCACTTCCTCTCCTGTCCTTGCAGCTTCTGCAACAAACCAATCAGATCCTCTGCCGTCCCACTGATGAGCATGGATGACGCAGGCGTTTCGCGAGCTGATTGATTGGATAATCTTCTTAAAGGGGTCACCATGGCAAGCACACCAAGCTCACACCGTTGAGCGGGTGAGTAAGACTGCTAGCTGGCACACGTCAGCGGACACACACGCATACACCCACGTGTTCACATAAACACACAGTGGCTCTTGGAGCCAGGTTATTAGGGTTACGTTGTCAATCACGGCACGCCGAGAACAACATGTCCTCGAAAGGGACAGACGGCTCACTCACCTTACTGAAAAAGATCTCGTCACCGTTGGCAGTGTCTGTGTCCACCGTGTATATGTGATCCCTGCATTTGATGGAGGGGGGGTTGAGGGAGAGAGAGAGAGATGAGAAGATAAGAGGTCAGACAGCAGCAGACAGTCAAAAATTCAACAAACAATAAACCCATTTCTTCGCTTCCCTCTGTTTTCCCCCTGCAGGCAGCAAACAACGACAGAAAATGGGGCTTTGTGTAAACTTTGTTCAAACTTCAAGAAATGACAATAAACAAAAGGAGGCCAGAGCTATTTGCTCTGTCAGACAGAAACAGTCAACAAAGGTTTAGAGAGCTGTGGCGCAGGCCCGGGGACAAAAGCCTCTTTGTCCCAGAGAAAGGTCTTGAGGGGGGGTGAGGGAGGAGGGGCAGGTTGAGACGGGAGGTGCCAAGTCACTCAGAGCTGTTCAGGTCAATTAAGCCTAGTGTTTGAGCCACAGGAAATCTATACTAACACTCATTATAGCTCAGACAAGAAGACTTATGTGTGCTGGCCTGGAAATATACAGGCTTCTCTTTTATTACAAAGTCCAACCATATAGGACTCAGCAGGGCATATGGAAGACATAAAACCTACAAGGGTTAACTACATCTCAGACAGACGCACCGGCTGGTTGAACAGGCACGCCGCTACACCTACTTACCGTGGAGAATTAGGGTGCAGACGGGGAGGGAGGGTGCAGCGAGAAGGGGTGGAAGGTATGGAAGTAGTGTGAGCGGAAGAAAGAGGGAGAACCAAAGGTGACCACGCCAAGCGCTGTGACCACTTTAATTTGTTGGAGATTAGCCGTTGAACGTGTTTTTAATCAAAGTGTGTAACAGTGGCATCGTCAGACTTGTGGCTTAATTACGTTCCAGATCCCCATCCTGCGCTCAGCCAGCACAGCCCGCCTCACTCTCTCATTAACTAAATCTAATAAAGTCTTTGGAGGAACAGACATCTTGAAATGAATCCACTTATATCACTTTCCTGGGGGCCACTGCCATCTCCTTTAGGATAAAAGCCAGTCTGCTGCACGTTATCAGCCGAGATGCTTAAATTGAATAATTAATCTCTGAGAGCAGTTGAAATTAAGAAAGCAGTGCGTGTATTGGTGGGAGAGAAAATGGTTCATGTGACGACACAAGTAAAATATCTGTCAGTGATTTTTTTCAAATTGTTTTCTATGATTACTTCTTTCCATGTCTACTCTAAAATCATTCAAGGTGAAGACTGCCAGCCGCTTCTTTTTCTTCTTGATATTGTTTAATATCGCTTCAACTTGTTGCAATTGGTCCAAAGGAAAAAAACGTTTTCCCTTCTGCAAATGAACCGGCCAATGGTTCAGTTTGATCCAGACCATCACCATCTCTTTTGGTTGGACTAAATTTATGTCCATTGGTTCTGACCTTGGTCCAAGGTGCAGCATATATGGTTAAATATAGAGGTTTCAATTAAAAATAACTCATTAATAATTATTTTTAGGCTCTTATCAGTCTTTATGGATGACATCAGCTATTCAGAGCCTGAACTAAATTTCTGAATGTTGAAAAGAAAAATGAATAAAACCCTGTTCTTTGAAATCAACTGAGAATAAAAACATTTTCATTTGATATTAAGCCATGAAAAGGAGAGGAAGTTAGTTGTAGGTCACTGAGATGCTTCCTATGGCCTTTCTAAATTCAAGTTCACTCACATTAGCAAATGCCAGATGCTGCCTGTCACCGTGCAGTCTGCCATGAGTAAAAAATCAAGTATTTCATGCCAAAACCGCAAACTCCACTGTAAAATGTTTCTTATTATGGCTCTCCAGTTGCACTACCATTGCTCTACTCTCGCTAATTGATCTGGATTGAATTTCCAAGGCTCCTGAATGGCCCGTCTGTCCTTCAGTGCTTTGTTCACCTTGCCTACAGGCTAACAGGAACGACTCAGGTCACGTGGCTGACGTAAACTTGATTATTAAAAATGGCAACTGTAATTTGTCAAAGATAAAAAAAAATCCATACCATGAGATAAAGCATGCACATAGAAGAAAAGAAAAATGATGGGTGATAACGGTGATGGATGATCTCACTGAAATGTTCCGCTATGTCATCCAAAGTTCAGCAATTTGTTCATTTAACTTAATTTATATCTTTTATATTAAACTTCAAACTTTATATTAAAAAGACAAAACCAAATCAAAAGCCATTAAATCAGAGGATTACTTGGTGGATTTAGAGTAATCCCATGGGGTATTTTACTACCGGCGATTTTAAAACAGCTCACAAGTAATGCGTAATTGACTGCCCCATTATTTTCGCTGGTAACCTTCATGGCTATACGCTCCCTGTCCTGGTGCCGACAGCGTCCTCGAGGGCCAAGGCTCTCCAGCGGCAGGGTTTTCGGTTCCAGCAGAGATTAGAGGGAGCCAAAGCTACGAGGCGTCCCTCAAACATCCTGACTGGAGATGGTGGGGGACAATGGAGCGGCTGTGTCTGTGTCAACACCAGCTCTCCAAACACACACACACACACACGTGCAAGGACTACCCCTCCTCCTCCTTTACCCCAACATGCTCAAACAAACACACTCATGCACCCTGTAGCCTCTCCACCACCGCACCTGAACTCACATTACAACATCACTTCCCCCTGGTGTGTGACTCACATCTGACTTCTGGGTGAAAAACTGAGCGAGCAAGCGAGACGGGGTCTTCAAGGACGACACTGGTGGTATTGTATGTTTGCAGATCATTAACTTCAAATCGAATATAGTTAATGTTATTGTGGCCCATTTGCCAAAGCAGTTTTAAAATTGATTTCCTGTAGCTCAGAGCCTCAGCCGCTCTCCACAACGACTCTGGAACCCTCTGCCACCTCACATCTGGGTTCTCTTGAACTGTTCTAATCACAACTCAAAACACATCTGTTTAGATCAGTCTTCTCTGTGTAACATCTTATTTATCCCTCATCAGATTTTAGCTCTTGGTTTTACTTTTAGTCTTTAGACTTTTACTCTTGTGTTCAAATATGATGCACTGTTGGGTGTCTATGCCTCTTAAGCTGATTTTATCCTTGATTCTACTTTTAACTATCCTTGTTGTTTTGAAAGACGTTTTCCTCCTCATCTAATTTTAATGTTTGGTTTTACTTTGATTATTCCTATATTCATGATTATCCTATGGTTTCCTTTGGTTTTCAGAAAGGCACTGTGAAGAAAAAAGTATTAATATCATTAGTTTACAGGCACACAGTGAGTTCTGTGTATTTAAATCAAAAGAGAGTTGAAACGAAACTTGAAATGTGTGATCCCTCACATTACTGGAAACTGAAGCTATGGCTGAATTATTTTTATAGTTAATTAATCTGCCCATATTCTTTCTTCTTTAATAATTTAGTTCATATTTTCTTGTTACATACGACAACATCAGTCCATTGTTTATTTTTTCTCCACCATGGGTTTTACTCCCTCCACAGATGGATACATTTATACTGGAGAGATTATTGTTATCTTGTTTTATTTTTATTTTACTTTTTTCAATTCCCATTGTTTTCAGGACACTGGTGCATGTTTCCCAATCATCTTATTTAATATCTTTAGCCGCTCTCATGCAGAGATCTTGATATATTACTGCTCACGCTATTAAGCTTCCTTCAAAGAAAATGGCCATATTGCCCCTGCTGTGTGTGGGGTTTCAGATCGTATACTGGCTTTGTGGAATGAGAGGTTGTGACATGTAACACAACAGCATCTGTGTCCTGTCCCGCCATTCTCCCTTTTACATTGACGTCGGTTTGACTCTATATGACTACCATTGCTGCTGGAATTCCTATGTTCCACAATTCCCCAATTCCTATGTTCATACTTTTTATACAGACTGGTGAGGCGGTGGAATAAAGGCTTAACATCCCTGTTTGAACAGCCTGAGTGAAAGTTGGAGTTTTGTATCAAGTCTCTCATCTTTCACCTTCCTTCAGATATCACTCTCTCTGGGAACACCTCAGGGTTTCCAAACTTCTGACCTGGTCAGTTCAAATCCGTTTCAAAGACTCAGTCCAGTTCTCTCTCGGAGCTCTGATCTATGATTCAAGCACCATGCAAAGACGGCCGTGTCATATTACACAAAACATAGGGGTCTATAGGGTCTGCGGTGTTGAAATGCAAAACACTGTGAGACTCTGCCGAAAACAAAAAAACTGAAGCCGTTGATAACTGACGGGTGCAGAACATTGGCCGTCAATGTGAATCACTTGGCGTGGGCTTCGTATTTCCCGAAATTCTGTGACAAAAAAAATGTGTGAGTACGATGGAAGGTATGCAAATATCCTGTGAGACACAAATATGGAGGACGGGTACAGACAGTGAGAAAGAACTGAAAGATCGAGGCTAGACAGTAGACCAACTGAGTGCGGGCGAGAGTGTGAGATCGAGTGCAACAAAGTGACATAGAGGGTCTCCATCGGACATGTACCCATGCATGGCCATGAGAACACAGGGGCTTTGTGTGGAAGAATGTCGTTTTCATAACAGCGCATTTCTTTTGGGGGTGACCGCAAGCCAGCTTGGTCCATCTGCTGGGCCTTTGTCAAACTATCTCGCATTCCAGTAGCAGAAAAGAGAATGCGATTAGCATGCACCCCACACCTTGTGCCACCACCCCTCTTTCCGCAAACTAAATGCCTGTGCGTCCACCCTCTGCTCCACCTCCCACCCTTTCTCTCTTGTCATCCACTTCGCCCATATTCCTCTCTCTTAATAATTGGATCATGGGTGGTATAGAGGAGGGCCCATTGTACGTTGTTTTGGCTTTCACTGGTTCAAATCCTCTTCACAAAGTAGAAGGGAGGGAAGTGGGGGAGCCAGCAGGCACCTTCGGGCTGTGAAGGGAGCGTTGAGGCTCTGAATGGGCCAAGGGCATCAAGAGGCCCTCTGTGATGTGGTGGCATGAAATACAACAAGCCAGAGTTCACTCACCTCAGAGCTGAGGCAGGTTGTTCTTTTTGAAGGTTGAACTTCTCATTTCTACGTTCCCACCACAATTCCTTTTGTGTGATTGTGTGTTTTGTGC